ACCACACCGACCACCTTCCTGTTTTTCTTTAGCCTTGACATTTTTTGTATGCTACCAACACTTGTGTCCCCAGGGCTAACGGCACAGTACAGCAACTGCCACTAACGGATATACAAACACACACTGTCTAGTATATCTGTATTTAGATTCCAAGGACCCTTCTGAAATATACTGAGTTAGAATTATCAGGGAGGTCTAGGAATCTATGTTTTTAAAAGCGTGACATTTTTTGATGTTTAATATTTCAACCTCCATAAATGTGATTATCCAGGTAGTCACTCCTCTGCCACCTTAAGCCACTCTAAATTTGTAGCCACTTGGCAACAGATATGTGAAGATTGGAGGGTCTGGGTGGAAGGAGACTCAACAGTTTCGTTTAAGAACCCTCCACCTGAGTGCCTGAAAGAAGCCCTTACATATCTGAATTACTCAGCAATTACTTACATTGTCAAACTTAATTAGAAATGAGAATTTATTGCATGATATTCTATTCTTTTTTCCTTTTTGTTTTTATATTGCCCTTTTAACCAGTCTATTGTTTTAATTCGTTTTGTTTTGTTTTGTTTTTTTTGAGACGGAGTTGTGCTCTTGTTGCCCAGTCTGGAGTGCAGTGGCACAATCTAGGCTCACTGCAACCTCCCTCTCCTGGGTTCCAGTGATTCTCCTGCCTCAGCCTGGCAAGGAGCTGGGATTACAGGCTCCCACCAGCATGCCCGGCTGATTTTTTGTATTTTTAGTAGAGATGGGGTTTACCATGTTGGCCTGACTGGTCTCAAAACTCCTGACCTCAGTTGATACACCCGCCTTGACCTCCCAAAGCGTCAGAGATTGCAGGTGTGAGCCACCGGGCCTGGCTTCTTTTAATTCTTAAATTCTTTTTTTTTTTTTTTTTTAGAGTCTAACTCTGTTGCCTAGGCTGGAGTGCAGTGGCATGATCTCAGCTCACTGCAACCTCTGCCTCCTTGGTTCAAGCACTTGTGCCTCAGCCTCCCAAGTGGCTGGGATTACGGGTGTGTGCCACCACACCAGGCTCATTTTTGTATTTTTAGTAGACAGGGTTTCACCATATTGGCCAGGCTGGTCTTGAACTGGCTGTCTCAATCTCCTGACCTTGTGATCTGCCAGCCTTGGCCTCTCAAAGTGCTAGGAATAACGGTGTGCACCACCACACCCAGCCAGTTCTTAAATTCTTGATATTACAGAACTGAAGTGAAACTTAGTAACATTCCACTCTTACATTTTTTTAGTTGATAAATTCATGACCCAAAAAGCCCAAAACAAAATTAAAAACAGGGAAAAGCTTATAAAATTAAATATGGATCCCAGCTGAACGGAGAATGTGATTTTTATTTTTATTTTATTATTTTATTTTTTTTGAGACAGAGTTTTGCTCTTGTTACCCAGGCTGGAGTGCAATGGCGCGATCTCGGCTCACCGCAACCTCCGCCTCCTGGGTTCAGGCAATTCTCCTGCCTCAGCCTCCTGAGTAGCTGGGATTACAGGCACGCGCCACCATGCCCAGCTAATTTTTTGTATTTTTAGTAGAGACGGGTTTTCACCATGTTGACCAGGATGGTCTCGATCTCTTGACCTCGTGATCCACCCACCTTGGCCTCCCAAAGTGCTGGGATTACAGGCTTGAGCCACCGCGCCTGGCTGAGAATGTGATTTTTTTTTTTTTTTTTTTTTTTTTTTTTGAGACAGAGTTTCGCTCTTGTTACCCAGGCTGGAGTGCAATGGCGCTATCTCGGCTCACCACAACCTCCGCCTCCTGGGTTCAGGCAATTCTCCTGCCTTAGCCTCCTGAGTAGCTGGGATTACAGGCACGCGCCAGAGAATGTGATTTTTAAGTTCTTAGTGGATGATAAAGTTTTGTAGAAACTGAACACTTACAAATTATTTAAAACCTGGAATCACCAGAATTACACATTTGGATCATGGGAAAGTAGAAAAAGGATTTCTGCTGCACCCCATTCCCTTCTCAGAAAAGCCTGGCATTCATTAGCTACTGGGCCAGACTATTTTTTTTTTTTTTTTTTTTTTTTTGAGACGGAGTTTTGCTCTTGTTGCCCAGGCTGGAGTGCAATGGCGCGATCTCGGCTCACCGCAACCTCCGCCTCCTGGGTTCAGGCAATTCTCCTGCCTCAGCCTCCTGAGTAGCTGGGATTACAGGCACATGCCACCATGCCCAGCTAATTTTTAGTATTTTTAGTAGAGACGGGGTTTCACCATGTTGACCAGGATGGTCTCGATCTCTTGACCTTGTGATCCACCCGCCTCGGCCTCCCAAAGTGCTGGGATTACAGGCTTGAGCCACTGCGCCCGGCCCTTTTTTTTTTTTTTTTTTTTTTTTTTTTTTTGAGACGGAGTTTCGCTCTTGTTACCCAGGCTGGAGTGCAATGGTGCGATCTCGGCTCACCGCAACCTCCGCCTCCTGAGTTCAGGCAATTCTTCTGCCTCAGCCTCCTGAGTAGCTGGGATTATAGGCACGCGCCACCATGCCCAGCTAATTTTTTTTTGTATTTTTAGTAGAGGCGGGGTTTCACCGTGTTGACCAGGATGGTCTCGATCTCTTGACCTCGTGATCCACCTGCCTCGGCCTCCCAAAGGGCTGGGATTACAGGCTTGAGCCACCGCGCCCTGCCAACTGGGCCAGACTAATACTGGCAGCAGAGCCAGTGATGGTACCCTGCCTTTCAGAGGACCCTTCTACTGGGTTGGCAGTTTTAATCTGGGCCCTGGACATACGGCAGATCTCATTAATGTTGACATCTGGGAGCCCGATTATACAGCCAATGAAGTTATTTGGAATGGTGAGTTCGTGGTTGGTTTGAGTAGATTTTTTTTTTTTTTCCTGGTGGAGCCCTGCTTTGTCACTCTGGCTGGAGTGCAGTGGTGCAATCTCAGCTCACTGCAACCTCCACCTCCCAGGTTCGAGCAATTCTGCCTTAAACCTCCCAAGTAGCTGGGATTACAGGCGCCTGCCACCACACCCAGCTAATTTTTGTATCTTTGGTAGAGATGGGGTTTCGCCATGTTGGCCAGACTGTTGTTGAACTCCTGACCTCAAGTGACCCACCTGTCCTTTCACCTCTGGAGAGCGGTAGTCAATTCAGGCAAATCTAGTCCCGCTGTGCATCATAGTAAAGTGAGACTGTTGTCTTCCCACCTGGTTCAGCTTGGCCAGATCAAACGGAGAAATGATACGTTATCTTTGAATCCAGTAGGCATCTGGAGGTGGTCCCTCCGGGTCATGGATAGCGAGGGGGTGGCCTGGAGCGTCGCTGCACCAATCTTGGCCACCGGCGAAGATGGCTGGGGAGTTGGCCAGCATGGGCTGGTATGGAATGGTCAAGACTCCCTTGTGGAGACTGGGAGAGTGTTTCCAGCATGACCAAGCAAATCTGCTTGACACACCAATGGCCCGCTTGGTGGAGTTGGGCAGCATATTCCCCGTCACCTGGACTTGGGTGCCATACTCTCCCGGATAGCTTTGATCTTACACTTACCGTTCCCAAATCTTTCTCTCTTATTTAGTTTAAAAAACTGTTTATTCAGACCGGGCGTGGTGGCTCAAGCCTGTAATCCCAGCACTTTGGGAAGCTGAGGCGGGTGGATCACAAGGTCAAGAGATTGAGACCAACCTGGTCAACATGGTGAAACCCCGTCTCTACTAAAAATACAAAAAAAAATTAGCTGGGCATGGTGGCGCGTGCCTATAATCCCAGCTACTCAGGAGGCTGAGGCAGGAGAATTGCCTGAACCCAGGAGGCGGAGGTTGCGGTGAGCCAAGATCACACCATTGCACTCCAGCCTGGGTAACAAGAGCAAAACTCCGTCTCAAAAAAAAACAAACAAACAAACAAACAAACAAAAAAAACTGCTTATTCATTTACTCGTTTTGAGATAGGGTCTCACTCTGTTGCCCAGGCTGGAGCGCAATGGCTCACTGCAGGCTCAACCTCCTGGGCTCCAGTGTTCCTCCTACCTCAGCTAAAAGTGTTGGGATTATGATGATGAGCCATTATGCCTATTGTGCAGTATTTTAAAATTGCCATTCTTGTCCAATCGTTTTTATGACACAGCAGGTCCCTGTGAGTGACCTGTAATTTTGGAAACCACTGAATGTGTCAGTTTTTAGGTACCTACAAACCCAAGCACCAAGTTTTTGAACCATATTTATTAGAATCAGGGCTATATATCAGCACAAATTTATACAAAGAAAAGGCAGTTGACTCCCAGGCAAGGACAAATAGCAGAGTTAGAGATTAACAATGGCAAGGAGTCAGGACCAGTTAGATGGAACCAAGGAAAAGTGAAGCCCAGCAGATGCCTAAACCCAGGAGGGCGAAGTCTCTTAAGTGTGACCTTAGCATAAATGCTGATGCTATTTGGGGCTTCTGAAATTACAAGGTAGCTCATGTCCATTCTTGTTTCAACACTTAGCTCAGTGCCCGGTACGTAAAGTTTTGCTGGCAGTGTTGAATGGATGGCTCTGTATGGTGGCAGTGACTTCAGTTTACAAAATGTGAATATCACCAGGCATGGTGGCTCACGCCTGTAATCCCAGCACTTTAGGAGGCTGAAGTGTGTGGATCACCTGAGGCCAGGAGTTCAAGACCAGCCTGGCCAACATCGTGAAACCCCTCTCTACTAAAATACAAAAATTAGCCTCACAAGGTGGCGGGTACCTGTAATCTCAGCCACTCGAGAGTCTGAAGCAGGAGAATTGCTTGAACCTGGGAGGCGGAAGCTGCAGTGAGCTGAGATTGTGCCATTGTACTCCAGCCTGAGTGACACAGTCTCAAAAACCAAACAAACAAAAATGTGAATATCTGTATCCTACCAAAGACTGCTGATCTGTCCTAAATCTTCAGCAGGATATGATTTTCCAAGTTGCAAATACACCCAAAAGGACTAGTTTCTACAAGTTGGGTAATTTCCTTCCCGTGTTTTAAGAGTGGTAAGGTGGCAATTTGTGGATAACAGACACTTCAGACTTCATCTTGCACAGATCTATTTAATGGAAGTGGCCTCAGGATGTTCCACTGTAAGTCCAGGGGCCTGTCAACACTAGGTGGAGAAGAAGCCACCATCTTTCTTTCGGGAGTAACCTCCATTGGTGGCTGCAGTGTGAGGGGACACTGTGGAGAAAAGAGAACAAAGTGGACTGAATTTGAGATCCTTGGCCTTTTCTAGGAAACTTTCAATACAGTAGAGAAGCTTCTCATAACAGCTGGGAAGACTAGCATATGGATGACTGATGGGAGCTAGTTATAGGTCTTCCACTGCCAGATTTTTGCCCTTGCTGTACATGTTTGTTCCTAGACTTAAGGCTGAGCAAAGATGCTCTGAAAAATTGAATTAACTTCCTAGCTCTACAGTCAGTATATCCCCTGGTATTAATCTGGTACGTGCCAACTCAATCGCTGCTTTCAAAGACCCACAGGAATCCCTCATCTTCCCTGCTGTCCAGTCACCTCAAATCCCTGATTCATGGGTCCATTTAGAAAGACTTCCCCACTGCCCCATCTGCTTACCCAGTCTTCTGACCCTTACCTATGGATCCCTGGATGCTGTGGATGGACTCCTTTTTAGGATTGATCCAGTGTCTGATGTTAGCCAGGAAAGTGATGGGTGGAGTGGGAGGGGTTAAAAATTCTCCAGGGAATTGGATGTTGGTTCTAGAAGAAGGTGTAGAGAAGAACGGGAGCGTGAAGTCAATCAGAAAGGTGAGGAGGGTAAGGTAGTTGAGTGTGATCTCAAGAATAAAGCAGCCAGAGACCCTTTTTACGTCTGGGATTAACCAAAGATTTTGTTTGTACAGATGAGCACAATCTTGGGGGATTTCTGTTCATCTTAGACAGTGAAAATACAGAAACTATATTATAGACACAGATGTAAAAATACAGAAATTTGTATACCAATGAATACCTAGTGATTCATCACTTTCCTTATATGACTGGATGGCAGCATGTGTAGGTTGGAGGGGCTCTGCCTCTACCACTTACCTACGGACGTCCTGCGTGGTCGTCTGGTGTAACAGTATCTCACTTTTGTTCTTGAATGCCTCGGTGTGGTGGTTGTACAAGGCTGCTAAGCGGAAGTCCAGATCATCCTTCGGTATCTACAGAAGTCAGTCCCCTCAGGGTTAGCTCGGCCACCTGTGCCCGTGCTCTAGTCGGGTTCTGTTGCGCTCTACTCTTCCCCAGAAGTATAGTGAAACCCCTGTTGGGTCTGAAATCTACCTGCTCCTTACACACTAAATTGTTGTATATGATGACTCTTGTCAATATGGAATTATCTAAGGGTTAGGTCTAGCGAGTAGTGAGCTCTCACTGGAGACTCAGGAATATTGTCCCTGACGTGGGCTTAATGAACTTTACCTCATTCATGCTTATATTCAGTCCTTGTTTTAGTCAGAGAATGAGGTTTGTAAAATGATTTGCTCTAGATAACTACCTGGAGCAAAACCTAAGCCTTCTGGCTTCACAGAGGCCGATAAATTGGTTTTTGGCTTTGGGTTTGGTAGGACCTCGGGTTAGAGACAAAAGGAAAAATACTGAAGCAGTTAGGAACAGACTAACTTTCAAAAAGAATATTAAGGGCTGGGTGCAGTGGCTCCTGCCTGTAATCCCAGCACTTTGTGAGGCTGAAGTGGGAGGATCGCTTGAGGCCAGGAGTTTGAGACCAGCCTGAGCAATATATTGAGACCTCATCTCTCCAAAAAAAGAACAACAACAACAAAAATGGCTGCATGTCATGGCATGTGCCTGTAGTCCCAGCTACTCAGGAGGCAGAGGCAGGAGGATTGCTTGAGCTGGGAAGGTTGAGGCTGTGATAAACCATGATCAGGCCACAGCATTCCACCCTGGGTGACAGGGGAAAAAAAAAAAGAAGAAGAACCCTAAATGGCTGCAAAGATCAATAGTATTTCAACATTCACTACCTCCGGATCAAAATAGTAGGCATCCCGCCTCATGGAAGTAATTGTGGCGGTTGAATTAAGCCGACTCCAGGGTTCCTGCTGCTGAGCAAGGTGAGTTGGGTTCTTGTATGGCAATTTCTGCAAAAGAGAAACCATATCCAGGAAAAACCGGTTATATAGGAAGCCTTGTTGATGTGGTTAGCTTCAGTAGCATCCCCTTATTCCATCTGTTTTTGATTTTTGTTTTGAGAGAGTCTTGCTCTGTCGCCAGAGCTGGAGTGCAGTGGCACAATCTTGGCTCACCGCAACCTCTGCCTCCCAGGTTCCAGCAATTTTCCTGCCTCAGCCTCCTGAGTAGCTGGGATTACAGGTGCGTGCCACCACACCCAGCTAATTTTTTTTTTGTATTTTAGTACAGACAGGGTTTCATCATGTTGGCCAGGATCGTCTCCACCTTCTGACCTTGTGATCTTACCGCCTCGGCCTCCCAAAGTGCTGGGATTCCATGCATGAGCCACCGTGCCCAGCCTTGTTTTATTTTTTTGAGACAGAATCTCACTCTGTTGCCGAGGCTGAAGTGTAGTGGCATGATCTCGACTCACTGAAACCTCTCCCTCCCAGATACAAGTCATTCTTCTGTCTCAGTCTCCCAAGTAGCTGGGATCACAGGCATGCACCACTACGCCCAGCTAATTTTTGTATTTTTAGTAGAGATGGGGTTTTGCCATGTTGGCCAGGCTGGTTTGGAACTCCTGACCTCAATTGATACACCTGTCTTAGCCTCCCAAAGTGTTGAGATCACAGGCAAGAGCCATTGCTTCTGGCCCTGTCTGGTTTTATTTGAATCGCAGACATCTGCAAAGAAAACAATATGGGGCAAGACTCTCCAGACTCGTGATCATCCTAAGTTTTCTTGGAACTGAAAGAAACAGGCCAGGAATATAGGAGAAGGGGTAGAGTGAGATGAGGGGGTGAAGGGTCAGGAGCACATAGAAAAAAATGATGAGCTCAGGTTTAGATGTAGTGAGTCTGAAGAAAAGGTGAGACATTCTAATGCAAATAACAGGTAGAAAAGTGGAAGTGTAACTTGTATGAGGAGAGCTCAGAAGGATTGGTTGTCTGCACAAAGTAGTAGTTGAAGGCTGCAAAATGGAGTTACCCCAAAAGGGAAGAGCTGGTTCGTGACAATTGTACAGTATTATACCTGGGAGTGAGGAGGGCCTCAGAGAAGCAATCAGACATGAAATTAGGAGAGTCCAGGTGAGAAAAAGATTCCAGTAAGCAGGGAAGGGTCATTGATTGCAGGAATGGCAGAAAAAGTCCACTGAACATTCAGTCCTCTCAATAAAACCTCACAGGCATGAATATAAAAAGCATATAACAGATTTCTTCATTATATGTAAAATGCTACATTCACCACTGTTTCCCCAGTTCCTAACACAGCAACTTACCACATGATATTAAAAAATGGTTGAATCCAATACATCATTTGACTGAATTCCGGTGAGGGCAACTAACAACCTATTAGAATTCTCATTAGACCTGTCCAACATTGTAATCCTCCTTCCCCCCAATATAGCAAAGTGCTCTGTGTCATTGTGGGGCTTAAAATCCCTGCTATGGGGCCGGGAGTCATGGCTCATGCCTGTAATCTCAGCACTTTGGGAGGTAAAAACAGGAGGGTCACTTGAGGTTAGGAGTTCTGGGCAACAAAGCAATATGCTGGCTCTATGAAAAAATAAAAGTCACGTGTGGCAGCACCACCTGTAGTCCCAGCTACTTGGGAGACTGAGGTGGGAGGATCGCTTGAGTCCAGGAGTTCAAGACTGCAGTAAGCCAAGACTGCATCAATGCACTCCAGCTGGGGTGACAGAGCAAGGAGATCTGTCTCAAAAAAAAAAAAAAAAAAAAAAAAAAAAAAATCTGGTGGGACACGGTGGCTCATGCCTGTAATCCCAGCACTTAGGGAAGCCAAGGCGGGCGGATCACAAAGCCTGGTGTTTAAGACCAGTCTGGCCAGTATGGTGAAAACCCATCTCTGCTAAAAATACAAAAATTAGCTTGGCGTGGTGGTGGGCACCTGTAGCCTCAGCTGCTCAGGAGGCTGAGGCAGAAGAATCGGAGGCAGAGGTTGCAGTGAGGTGAGATTGCCCTCCTGCACTCCAGCCTGGGCGACAGAGCGAGACTCCGTCTCAAAAAAAAAAAAAAAAAAAAAAGCCGGCATGATTCCTCACATCAGTAGGATGAAACCACAGCTAGCCGGCATGGTGTACACAGCACATTCAGCCCACCAAAGGCATCTCTCCAGCTCTGACTGCTGAGTGCCTCCGTTTCACGCCTACATTCCAGCCCTTCTGGACTATTTGCAGCTCCCCAAACAGGCCATTCTCTCTCTCCTTTTCATGTATTTGCACCTGCTGCTTCCTTTGCCTTGCGTATCTGGTCCCTGTTTCCTTCTTCCTAACTCACATTCTACCCTCTCCCTCACCTGGCCTACCTAATTAATATTTGGACATCAAAACACACCTGCTCTGTGAAGCTTTCCTTTAAGTTCCTGATTCTCACGGCACCCTAAACACAACTCTGTCACAACACGTGCTATTGTGCAAGCATTTTGCTATTGTTGGTCTCTCTTTACTACTGGAGTTCCTTGACAGCAGAAGCTACATCTAGTTTATTTATATATCCTCAGTGTCTAGCAGAGTGTCTGGCATATAGTAAATAAGTATTGAATAAAAGGGGGCTCTTAATATTATTAGACCACAATTACCACTTAATTCATCTTATTGTGCACCACTTCGAATATCCCAAACACTAATACCAGAAGAAAGATCATCTAAGTTCTGAAATCAGTGACCACCATCCTGCTAAACGCACACATGCACAAACACATTGTGGAATTAACCAGAAGACAGAGACAGTGTGAACACAGATGTACAAAGTATGACCTCTCATGGCTTTCAGAGGATTCTCTCCCACCCCATATCTCAGAGAACAGTCTTCCAAACAGGGAAATGGGTAGCTTGAAGGAACCTCGGCCCTCCCGTAATACTCACAACTGATCTGAGCTGCCAGAGCCCCTTGTTCCTCTAGACTAGAGCTCTACTTTCCTCTGCTCAAAAACGCCTCTGAAACGTTAGCCGACCTGAATATGGAGACAGGGAGGCAGGCAGAAAACAGACTTCTCGGATACCCGACTTAGTGTCTTCACCAGAGTCCTTTATGTTACCGTCTCTACCCATCACACCGACAGAAAGAAGACTACAGGCAACCCTACTGGGAATCTGCGCAAGAAACCACAGTACCTTGGAAGCCCGCGGTTCTCCTAAGTAGGAATCATCGTTATCTAATGTAGGCTGCTGCAAAGGGTCCCGGGTAGGAGGCATGGCTAAATGCCTGACTCTTTTAAGAGGGGTGGGAGGCCCGCTGAGCTGCAGCACAACCTCGCCCGCAGACGATCCCGGGTCCCAATTGTTTGGAACGCCGGTTTCGGTTGCCAGGCAACTGCCCAGCCATCTGTGACAGAGGAATTCCCTTCAAGGAGGGCGCCACCTGGCGGCTGACTGCGGGAGGAAGCTCCGGGAAACGCTGAGGGAAAGGGCAGCTGAGCCCGCCCCGAGCCTTGGAATTGCACTCCCGAGCCTCTGCGGCAAAGCGCCGGCCGTTCACCATCAGGACTTCTGCAAAAGACTTCAGTTGAGGTCCAGGAGCGGTGGCTCACGCCTGCAACCCCAGCACTTTGGGAGGCCGAGGCGGGCGGATCACGAGGTCAGGTGATCGAGACCATCCTGGCCAACATGGAGAAACACCGTTATCTACTAAAATACGAAAAAAAAAAAAAAAAAAAAAATTATCCGGGCATGGTGGCGCGCGCCTGTAGTACCCGCTACTCGGGAGGCTGAGGCAGGGGAATCGCGTGAACCCGGGAGCACTCCAGCCTAGCAACGGAGTAAGGCTCCATCTCAAAAAAAAAAAAAAAAAAAAAAAAAAAATTGAGGAAAGAAGTCCTGAAAGATAACCCAGAAATTTTCTTCTCCCTCTCGCCTAACAGAAAGCTTTCAAAGCCATGAAAAAGTGAGGATGTCAAGAGACCAAAGAGGCTGGGCACCGTGGTTCACGCCTGTAATCTCAGCACTTTGAGAGGCCAAGGCGGACGGATCGCTTAAGCCCAGGAGTTCGAGACCAGTCTGGGCAACATAGCAAAACCTCATCTCTACAAAAAATAGGAAAAATATTAGCGGGCGTGGTGGCGGGTGCCTGTAATCCCAGCTACTAGGGATGCCGAGGCAGGAGAATCTCTTGAACCCGGGTGGGGGAAGTTGCAGTGAACTGAGATCGCACCACTGCACTCTAGTCTGGGAAAGAGAGTGAGACCCTCGGAGAGAGAATGAGAGGGAAAGAAAGAGGCCCACGTGCGGTACTTGGAAACCAGCGGCCAAGGTAAACTCCTTGCTTAAACTGGGATCAACTACAGCGTCAGGGCTTCTCATCTAGCCAGTTGTAAAAGCATGGATGGGGCCGGGCGCGGTGGCTCACGCCTGTAATCCCAGCACTTTGGGAGGCCGAGGCGGGCGGATCACTAGGTCAAGAGACCAGCCTGGCTAACTTGGTGAAACTCCGGTGGCCGTGGTGGCACGAGCCTGTGATCCCAGCTACTCGAGAGGCTGAGGCGGGAGAATCACTGGAACCCGGGAGGCGGAGGTTACAGTGAGCGGAGATCGCGTCACTGCACTCCAGCCTGGGCGACAGAGCGAGACTCCATCTCAAAAAAAAAAAAAAAAGAAAGAAAGAAAAAAGAAAAAGTACGGATGGATTTGGCGGGATGTAAGATCCACAGCAGAAGCGCCTTTGCAGGAGGGAACACGTACTGGGGCCTCTTCCGGGCGACGGCTTATGGAGGGTGATCTCTCCATCTTCTTTCTCTCGGTTCACACGGCACATTTGCAAAATCAGAGATGCTCATAAATAACCCCGGGCCCGAAAGGGCAGTAGAAAACGGAAATTTGTTGGCACTGGCTTGGAAGATGCTTCCACCGCATTCTTCACGCGAGCCCCGGGCCTGACTGTTGGGCCGGTTGCGCACCCCAGGCGCGCGCTCACCCGCTCACCAGCGGTGGCGGCTGCGGTGGCGATAGGCAGGTGAGCGGCAGAGGCGCGCGTGGTCCCTGCCCCACCCGCGCGAAGCCAGAGAGGAGGCGGTTGTCAAGGCGACGTGGGTAGGAGGAGAGGACGGAGGGAGGAGGAAGGATGGGCGGCCTTGGCGTAGTCGCAGGGAGGTGACTGGAGCGAGCCTGTCCCCTTACATCCTCCCACTGTGTACCTCCCTCCCCCTTTTTCCGCCTTCTGCCAGCAGGAGCAGCAGCCGCAGCACCTGAGCCGTTACTGCCGCTCACTCAAGACGACGCTATGGCTGAGCTTGGGTACAGCCACCATCTCTCCGCCAGAGGCAGGGGAAGAACTGAGAGGCTCACACCCCGGCTGCTGCAGCTGCTGCTCTGGGCTGGGACCGCCTTCCAGGTGACCCAGGGAACGGGACAGGAGCTTCACGCCTGCAAAGAGGTACTGCCGCCCCCGACCCGACCCCGCTTCGGCCACAAAAGTCTTGGATCCAAGCGGAGACTTTGGGGACCCAGGCACAGAGAGTTTCAGAGGCCACGGAGTTTAGATTTCTTTGGGGATGAGGCGTGGGGGGAGGGAAGAGGAACCAGTCTGGCGTCATGAGGCGGCCAGCACAGTGGGGGACTCACGAATAGATCATCTTCGCAGCTTGGAATGCTGAGATCAGCGAGAAAGGTCCCAGCCCCAAGAAGGGGAGCGACCTGGGTACCTGAATTCAGAATGAGGGAGGAAGATGAGTTGTTTTCCAGCTGGGATGAACTCACCTTAAAAGTGGTTAACAACAAAAGATTCTGCACAGAGAAGGAAAATAGAAAGAGGAAATGAGAGTAGTGGAGAAAAAAGCAGTTAGGAAGGCCAGAGAAAGGTAGCGGAGCTAAGTGGTTTTATCATGGCTACACAAAACGGTGTACGAAGGTGGGAGATGTATGAGAGGGATGGATGACAGGATCCCAACTCTCTCGTTCCTTGTTTATGAAACATCCAGTCACCGTGCAGACTGTTCAATGTGGCTCCTTCTTGTAGCGTGGCCTCCTCACAGCCTAGTTTGTTTAGTGTACCTGACCGCACACGACTCACCTTTATGCAGATTTCCAGTTCTTCAATATCTCGTTTTCTGCCAACCTTTGCTCTCCTTCTCTGACTTCTGTTAACATATGTCAACGTCTTGTTTTAAGGTGTTTCCAAAATATTGGCAGCAGAACTCAGACAATAGGTAGTGAATGTCTCATAACCAAAAATATCTTTTGAAAAGTCATCTTGGACGAACGCAAAAGGGCACAAGGAGCAACAAAACTAAGTCGTTTCTATATTATAGAAATAATGATGTTTGCTGGTGCTCTGAGCAACTTTTTTAGAAACCATATGGCAGAGGCAACAGTAAGATATTTACAAGAACTACACTAGGGAAGGCAAAATAAAAGTTCTGTTATTTCTGTGAAATGTGGACTTCATAAAAAGTCAAGCATCTAGCACTGTAAAAACAATTCCACATATCAAACTTGGCTAAGGTTTTGAGAGGTTGGAATACACACACACACACACACACACATATATTTTACTTTAAATTTTTTTTTTTTTTTTTGAGGCGGAGTTTCGCTCTTGTTGCCCAGGCTGGAGTGCAATGGCGCGATCTCGGCTCACCGCAACCTCCGCCTCCTGGGTTCAGGCAATTCTCCTGCCTCAGCCTCCTGAGTAGCTGGGATTACAAGCACGCGCCACCATGCCCAGCTAATTTTTTGTATTTTTAGTAGAGACGGGGTTTCAGTATGTTGACCGGGATGGTCTCGATCTCTTGACCTAGTGATCCACCCGCCTCGGCCTCCCAAAGTGCTGGGATTACAGGCTTGAGCCACCGCGCCCAGCCTAAAATTTTTATTTATTTATTTGAGACGGAGTCTCTCTGTCACCCAGGCTGGAGTGCAGTGGCGTGATCTTGGCTCACTGTAACCTCCACCTCCTGGGTTCAAGCGATTCTCTTGCCTCAGCCTCCTGAGTAGCTGAGATTACAGGTACATGCTATGACACCTAGCTAATTTTGTATTTTTAGTACATTCAAGGTTTATCCATGTTGGTCAGGCTGGTCTCAAACTTCCAACCTCATGTGATCTGCCTGCCTCAGCAGAGTGCTAGAATCACAGGCATGCTCCACCACGCCTGGCTATTTTTGTATTTTTAGTAGAGATGGGGTTTCACTATGTTGGTGAGGCTGGTTTCGAACTCCTGACCTCATGATGTGCCCACCTCGGCCTCCCAAAGTGCTGGGATTACAGGCATGAGCCACTGCACCCAGCCAAATTTATGTTTTAAAATAGAGACAAGGTCTCAATATACTGCCCCAGTCAGTCTCTAACTCCTGGGCTCAAGCAGTCCTCCCACCTTGGCCTCCCAAAGTGCTCGGATTACAAGCATGAGCCACTGCACCCAACCCAGAATATTTTTTATAAATTATTAGTGTGAACTGGTTAACAATAACTACCCCCTTCCATATGGATATATATTATTATAAAGATGTTGTGTGTCTACAGCATAGCAGGTCATGAAGAAGTCGGGTGGAGTGGGATTTTTGTGTGAAGATTATGAATATGGCATAAGTGACCCCAGTGAATGGGACTTTCGATAACCTTTATTAGCTCCAGTGACAGCCTGCCCCGGGCCATCTACATTTCCACCCAGCCGCATTATAACCTGTTTTAGAGATGGCTGGGAACAGGATGATCTCATCACTGACTCTGCTCACTGGCCTTGATGGCCTGTGGTCTAACCAACCAAAATAATGAGACCAAGAAAGCCCACTTGCCTAAGAATCAAACGAGGGAGTCTCCTGAGTGAAAGGTAAGAAGAGTAGAGTTTAACTACCAATTCTTGTTGAGATCTTTGTCAACGATGGAAAATATGAGACATTTCCGAAATTAAGCACTTCCGTTATCTTGGTTTGGAGGAAGGGAAGAATATTGATACTTGAGAACTTGAACTTGTTTACAAATTTTGCCTTTGGTCCTGTTTGAATGACCAATATTTGCCTAAGCAAAAGGTCTTGCCACAAAGTGTAAGCGTGGGGTAGTGGAAAGCTATGGAGCTCAACCTACTGGGGTTTCAGTCCTGTTACTTACCACGTGGTTTTTGGATTTGTAGAATGGGTATCAAAATAACACCTACCTCAGAAAGGATTGCTTTGAGGATTGAAATAGAAAATACATTTGAAACACAAAATAGACTTACCTACCCGCCTTTCCTGCTCAGCTTCTTTCCCATTAGATCCACACCCCATGCCAGATTGGAAACGGCTCAGGAGGCATACCCACTGAGCACAGGCATCGCAAGTCCTGTTTACATTCTGCATAAGCAAACAGCAGTCACTGAACACCCTCCGCTCCAAAACAATCAGGAAGA